GTCTGTCAAACATAAACCAAAACACACAAATGTTATAGAAAATGCTGCAAGTGCTACAATATTACCTTAAGACTAGGGATGTGGCTAGAGGTAAATTCCACAAAACGAGGAAAGAGACCGGCTTGGACAATTTTGTTGATTGGAGGATCATCTGAATCAAGATAGTTTTTTATAGCAACTATACAAGCAAGATGTTGGGTGGTGTCAGCTGATTGGATATGATCGAACATCGTTTGTAGCTATAGTAAGAAAAAGAAGAAATTAGACCTCTCGTTAGATTTGCATTGTACACCGATTGTACATTGACTCTCCTGACTAAAACTTGGAGGTAAGAACATTGGCTTTACTAGTTTTTGATGTGGCTTTGATTGTTGCATATAGTGGGATTGAATGTTTTTACATTGAGCACACTCAAGATTTAAATTTAAATTGGGTTTCTCTTGAACTGGAACTGAGATAGAACTGGACCTTTTTAGATATCAATTAGTGATGAGAGTTTTTAATTAGCAAGCAAAATATCAATTAATTCCTAGCAAGCTAATCAACCTAACTCATGATTCAATTATAGCAAACATAGGGTTCGAACACAAGGAAGACTAGGACCTAGAGTACTAGACCATGGAGAATTCAAAAAGCATAAATAAGTAGATGGTTTGGTTTGAACTAGCCTAGGCGATATGTAAATAAGACAGTGAATGAAATGAAATGTAATATGATTAGGAATATTGAGCAATGGATTAGCAATTGATTAGGGGTTTAATAAACCGTGGCTAAAGAAGTTAGAGGCCTTAAGCAAAAAGCCCAATTCATAAGCATGGGACACTAATACAAATTAGCCCACTTTCGTGATGTCTAATTACTTTGTTAAGCATTTAATCCCAACTAACTTTCCCTGAGACGACTAAACACTCTCCAAGCATAGCGGTCGAGTACCAATAAGCTCACTTGGCGCCTTGGCAAAAAATTTCGTGGTGAAGGAAGGTAAGCCAAACAAAGAGTCTTTCAAGTATTCCCACAAACACCTTTCGGGCAGGTGAACGCTTATCGTCATGAGCAAAGACACGAATCTAGGCTCAAGCTTTAAGACCAACCCAAGTTTGAGAACGCGTATGGATACGACCCGAAACGACCTTAGCCACTATCTAAGAACCCTAGATCTGCTAACCCATCACTCAATAGGGTAACTACTCAGTCATGGCCACTGAGCAAGTCATGAGCGAGTTAGAGGGATGAACGAAATGTAAATGCATAAACAAAAAGAGCTAAAGAGTAAAGATTAAACTTGCAAAATAAGATTGAAACTAAGAAATACGAAGTACTTAGAGCATTAAAGTTTATTTAGGCTGCTATATGGATCTTTGCCTCAACCTCCA